GTTCTAAGCAATGAGCAGTAGAATCTCAGAAGTAGCAGTTTTAATCTTAGCTGGAACTGCAACCTCCATTTATATTTGTAGATTTCCATATGTGAAAGGATCCTTTCCAAAGCTATTGCAGAAACCCTACAATGACTTAGAACAGTTTTTGTTCTACAGTCAATACAGCAAGCCCATCTACAATTTAATTTCTAAACAAGCAAACCTCTGCTCCTCTGCTGCCTTCCTGGTCTAAATTCCCTATTTTCAGAAYACTCAGAAAAATCAAGCCATACTATCATAATTTGGGAGAATTATGCCTTGTTCCTTTCACAGAGAAAGGAAGGGAAAGCGAAAATCCTTCAAATAAATATGCATCGTAAAGGTCAGTGATTATCTGCATGTAATATACCATGGCTTTGGTCTTAAGGGCRCAGCTAGATAGGGAGGCAAGAACAGTCCAGTGTGTGTGGTGCACGCTGGTGCTCTTTATACAGACACCCTTCGGATGGCTGCTGGTTTAAATTTACGTAGCTACAGAGAAGAGACACCTGCTCGGAAGATCCATTGCAAATGTTGTTCGACAGGGCTGGAGAGGAGCGGTCGGCAAGCAGTGTCCTGCTGGGAGTGTGCCGGGACGAATGCTCAGGCAAATATTAGCCAAAATACCCTGCCACCAGCAAATGCCCCGAAGGCAATAAACGGGTATATGGCATGCAATTTCACCCCAGCGATCCTGCAGAGAAGTTTGTTTTTGACAAACGCGTGTTTTTCCGCTGACAGCGGCTCTGCCTGGCTGCCCTCAGTGGGGATTTGCGGTTTGGCAGGAGCTCCTCCGCTCCCCCCCGACCTGCGATGGCCGGAGTTCCCCTCCTGACCGCCCGCGATTGCTCAAGCGCTGTGGCAATCCTCAGGCAGCTCCAGAAACACCCAGAATAGAGCTGCCTGTGAGGGAGGGAGAAGGACAATGCCTTCCCTGCGGCACAGCCGGTCCCGTCGGGCCTCCCCAGGAGGGAATAGCAAAGGGCAAAGTTGTGTTSGGCGGCGGAGGGCCCGGCCCCGGCAGAGCCAACGCGCGGCCGCCGGGCGCTCCGGGAGCGCTGCCAGCGCCGGAGGCGGCCCCGGGCTGGGCACAAGCAGCGCCTTCAGCCAGCGGAGCCCGGAGCAGGGCCCGGCAGCGCCCCGGGACASGGCGGCGGTGGCACCCGCGCTGCCCGGGAGGCCGGCGCTTCCAGGCGGAACCGGGGGCCTCCTCCTCACCAGGTATCGCCCCTCTCCCYGCTTGGGTTGTTCCCAGACCGTACGTCCAGGTGAAGAAGTAAATATAATGCCGGAGCCCTTTTGCTGCCGAGGGCCGGCGAAGRGCCCGCAGGGGCTGCGCGGGGAATTCCTGCGGGAATCTCCCGGAGACGGGGCCGGGAGGGCTCAGCCCACACGCGGGGGCGGGCGGGCTGAACCGCTTTGCTGGGGAAAGGCCCGGGATCATAACTTCTCCCTGCCCCCGGGATCACAGCTTTTCCCTGCCCCCGGGATCACAGCTTCTCCCTGCCCCCGGGATCACAGCTTCTCCCTGCCCCCGGGATCACAGCTTCTCCCTGCCCCCGCTCTCCCCTCACAGAGCGGCCTCGTCCCGGCCCTGAGGGAAGCGGGGATTGCAGAACTCTCCTTTTTGGGAGGAAAGCAAGAGCGTGTAGGTGTTCTTGGTGAGGGCGGCTCTTGCAGGTAGCTGATGCAGGGGTATAATCTACCATCCCTTCGAAGGTGTGTACCCCGTTTGCAAAACAATCCATGAGAAGGAGGACTTGAGGCCTCCCTGGTAGTCCCGAGGTCTCCTGTGGCAGTGGCTTTCTGTAGTTGCCTGTGAATCTGCTTTCTGGCAGCAGTGCTCTGTGTGCAGAAAGCCTGAGGGGATCCCAAGGAGCCTCTAGAGTCCTTTGGTGAAGAAAGATCATCCTCGCCTTTCTTCTCCAGCGCCTCCTAAATGTRTATGTCACAGGGCAGCCCAAAAAGCAGAAAAGAGACCAGGCCAGAGTCAAAACGCCAAAATCAGGAGCTCCTCCTCAGCAARCACCCAAAAATGGATCAGTCTTTGCCCACAAAAACTCTCTGGGGTCATGTGAAGGGAAGTAACACCAAGGGTTCTTGTAAACTGGGGAAGTGATTAAACAAAASYGATCAGMAAAAAAAAATGAAAGGAAAAAGTATTCCATGGCAGGCACGGACAGGGACAGTGGGTGCAGCTGCCCTGGTGGATGAGGAGCCCCTCCAGCAGCTGAAAAAAGTTTGAGCCCTTGCTCCCCAGGCCCACAGGCTTCAAGCGATTCAAAACTGTTTCAGTTATTAAAAAAAAAACAACAAAACCAACAAACCAAGGCCTCCAATAATAGCAGGTTTTGGTTTTCTTTAGTTACTTCCTGTTCTGACTCTTCTGGTCAACAGTTCAGCTGGGCTTTTTCCACTGTTTATTTGGGTTTGTAAATATGCTTATTTTTGTAGGCCAGCTGGGTTGCGACACAAGCTAAGCGCATCCAGCCTGCTGTGACGRTGCAGCTGCAGCTGGCAGTGGATCTGCACGTTCCTCTGTGTGTGTGTGTGCTGAGGAACAGTTTATTTATCAATACTGGTCATGTTACCCACTGCCAGAATGATGTTAGGGCTGAAAGTTAGTGGCATTTAGTGGTGACACACAGCTATTTGAGGCAAGAAAGAATAAAGACCCCCTTGTATCACATGAGGCTGACATTGTCTCCTCAGCAATGGGAGTTGGGAGGTGAAGTCATATCACAAAATATGTCAGTATTTTAAAAAATAATTCATACTGGCCTGGAAGGAGCAGGAGGGTGGCAGGGACAGAAACCCACATCAGGCAGCTGGTGTCCTCATTGCTGGAGAGTCACCTGGAATTACAGCTCCAGGTGACTCTCTCTGGCTTCTCTCCTGTTCTTCTGACACTATGAAGGGACAGGGAGCTAAACAGTACATGACATCATTCACCTCCCTCTCCAACAGATACTGCAACTGACCTGCCTTTTAAATGCTGATTTTTGCAAAACCCTCAGGCCTGTCTGAGGGGATGAGAAGTATCACCTCTGCTGAGACTAAACTGGGCTGCCACATCAGCTAAAAATAGTTTCTCCTCCTGTGYCCCCKACCCAGCAAGATGCAGGCAGRCCATGCTGCCAGGGCAGAGCCRTAGGTGGGCCTTCCACTCATWGTGGGGYCAGYGGCTCTGCAAAGCCCCAGCTGCACTCCCTCATACAAGCTGTGTGTAGACTCTGCTTTGCACCCAGTTAATTCTTGCCATGAAGGCTTGATGTGCTCCTGGACTGCAGCAGTAGGTGCAGGAAAAATGGTGCATTGAACAGGTGCCTGTCATGGCATTCTGAGCTGCTCCCGTAGGCTCCAGCTCTGTCAGCAGCCCCTTCCTGCCCTCACTGGATTTTGCAGCACAGGGATCAGTTGATATCAAACTGGCTCATCTGCAAAAATCCCATCTGAACTGGGTAGACTTGTGAAACCTGAWTCTCCACCAAGCCACAGCTCCCCTTTCTTCCCTGGGAGACAGGGAGATCAGTCAGGAAATTCAATCTCCATCATGGTCCAAGGGCTTYAGCGAAGGAGAGTTGTGAGGGACAACCGAAAGCACATCTCTGGCATAATGGATAATGTACCCGTTACATTTGTTCCAGGGCAGCTGAAAAAGCAGGACTGTGCTTGTCCATGCACTGCTGGGAGGCTCACTGGGCACTCTGAGAGCCACACACCATTTCCACAGCTGCCAGTTTGTTAATAAAAATGTGTTTATCTTTATCTTGCTCAGAACCAATTTTCCTGATTAATTACAGAGTTATTACCCAGCCCTCCAATTTCTTGTTACTAATATTCTTCCTTTCTTTCCCCTTCCCATTCCCCCAGCATTTTTTCAGGTTGGGTTTCTGGGTGTCAGCCATGCAGGCCAGCAGTTCTGGTCCAGGGTCCATTTCCCCTCCTATACTGTGTCCTCTTTCCCTGCTGTGTGGGCACTTCTGTAGTCARCTTGTGACAGAAGATGTGATAATTAACAGAAAGAAACTTCAGCAAGGCCCTGAGAGGAAGAAGACGGGTYGTAACAACCCTTGGCTGTGATGCAGCAGGAATGCAATGACCAGCAACAGTGCCTGCTGCTCTYTCCCTTCTTACATAGCAGAGACATCAAATTTTAAGTAGTAAAACCTCAAGGGTAAGTGAGAAGCTGTGTGAACAGTTATGAGCAAGGRTCTCATAAATAAACCTGACCTATCATAATTCCACATGATCTGTCTTGCCTAAATTTACATCAAAGATACCAGAAGCCACAGAAAGATGCATCAGCCTGTCATTACAAGTGCAGGCAGTGGTTTTCGGAAAAAGTTCTCCGAAAGCAATTAGTGAAGCTGGATTTCTACAGTCACTGATAAGCAGGCCCTATAGGGGAAGCCAGAACCATCAGGGCACAAAACTAAAGGCATATCTCACWCAATATCCTCTCCAAGAGTGAATATTTTTGCTATTCCAGGAAAAAATGGGTCATAGGCAGAGGAGATTCTCCCCCTACATCCCTGCTCAGATTTTGTAACTTGTTGAAGGGATGCCTGAGCCAGCAGGAGAGCCCTAACTCACCTGTTTCAAAGCTGCTAAAGGATTTATCACCTCTGAGGTTGCCCAGTCTCTCTCTTCTGGGCCCATTTAGTCCTGACTTCTGGGAGTTTGCAGGTTCAGMGCTGCATGGTTCAGGTCTTCTTCATGCCTTTGCCAATGTCAGACTTGAGCTGCCTGTGGCCAGAAACATCTTGATGGGGCTGGCATCTTGATGGGGTGGGCAGCCAGGTGATTGTCAGCCAAGAGCTGTGTGCCACTTCCCAGGAAAGGTGCCAGCTCCAAAACTTGTCCAGGACAAGGGAAAATACAGACACTGCACTTCCTGGAGTAGCAGTCAGCAGATGATGATTCTGAGGAGTGGAGTGGAGTGGAGGTGCTCCAGGACATAAAGCAAGTTATAAAGCAAGGCAGAGAGAGGCAAACATACAGGCTCTTGGAGCAGCAAGGCTGCCTGGTGCCTGGGGACCTCCATGTGCTGCTGAGAGAGTGTTGCAGCCTTGGACAGCCACAAATCTGTCCAAAGCAATGGGTCACACTGGCAGGCACAAGGACCAAGAATTGGTTTGGAGACCTCCAGTGTGATTTGCTTCTGCTGCCCAGGCAGTGACAGCCCTCATTGCTGAAAATCCTAATACTCAAGTAACCTTTTTGCTTATGGTGCAAAAAGCTGTTTTCTCTTCTCTCTGCCTTTTGCAGCTGACACAATAGAAAACTTGATCTGTGCCTTGCTCCCTCAGGTTTTATTGAGGAAACCTTCCCCAAACCAGTTGTAATTTTATTGAGGAAACCTTCCCCAAACACCAGCCGTGCATGTGCAGATCACTCTCTTATGCTGAGGATCAGGTAGTGGGTGTTGAAATATTTTTCAAAACTTTGTCATCATATCAAAGGCTGATGATTTTTTTTAATCCTGACAATAGTCCTCGTTGTGTGCAGCAGTTAGCCTTCAGTTAGTTTTCTGGGGTGGGGGTCATGTTGCATCTTGTGTGGGTGTATCATAGCCTGATACTCGCCCTGGATAATTGTGACATGTGATATGTTGTTTCCAAATGCAGGTAGGTCCCTCTCTCCTCTGGCTCTGCATCCTGGAGATGGCTTCACTCAAGGTCGCAGTGGTTGGGGCGGGAGTCATCGGCCTGTCCACAGCACTGTGCATCACAGAGACTTGTCCCAGCTGCTCTGTGACAGTCCTTTCGGACCAGTTCAGCCCCAACACAACGAGTGATGTGGCAGCTGGGATGCTCATCCCTGACACCTACCCAGGTTCGTGCAGTTCAGGGCACCACTGCCCGTGGCACCTCCTGCAGCTGTGTCCAGGTGTGCAGCAATGCRCTGAGGCTCAGGAAGAAAAGTGCCTTGACTTGTGTTCCCTGTGTGTCCCATATCCCTGACACTCATTTGTACTCACTTCTCTTTGCATTATTCCTCTCTGCACATTTGCTTTTGTTCACRTGCAGACACACCAATCCACAGGCAGAAGCAGTGGTTCAGAGAGACCTTCACTTACCTTTTTGCCATCAGCAACTCAGCCGACGCATCAGAGGCTGGCATTCACCTGGTCTCTGGGTAAGAGCAGCCTCTGGGGCAGCATTTAGTACATTTCTGCTGTTTTCTCACTCGGATTTGGGGGATTCTATTCTTTTCACAGAATAGCTTTTATGTCCGTATTCTCAGGAAACTGCATTGTAGCTGCTCAGATATGATGCATTTTTAAGCAAAATTCAGGCATAACTGTGCACAGAAGAACCACTCAAGTTTGACCAGCACCAAATGCCTTTTAATAACTGATGTTTTCCACACTGTCACCCACCAGTTGTTTGCAGCAGGGGTCATCTCCATAGGGATCCTCCAGCTTCAGCAATTAGGTGCAGGGATTCAGTCAGAGGGGGCTGTGTGTTGGGGGTGTTTTATGCTGCCTATTGCATACACAGGAATTTTTCTCTTGGGACTATTGAGACTGAGCACTCTGTAGCTTTATGGATACCCAAGGAATGGTGAACAGGGGTGCAAGTGGCCCCACCAGGTCCAGCCTGGTGAGGGGACTCTGTACATACACCATCATTGGAAGGACCCTTTGCAGTTTATTTACCCTGGTGTGCCATCCTCAAGTTCAGCTGTACCAACCCTCTGCCTGTTTGCCCAGGCAGTATTGCAGGAGCAGGCAGCAATGTTTCCCCACTGCTGTTAACCTTGCAGAGCTGCACTGATGGGGGAGAACAGCGTACTGTGTTCCTGGATTTGTGCTAGGATTGCCATGACACATAACATRGCAGAGCATTAGCAGTAAGTTTTCWGGTTTTTCTCTGTGTCTTTTTAGGTGGCAGGTCTTTAAAAGCACTCCCAAGGAAGAGTTACCTTTCTGGTCAGATATTGTGCTGGGATTTCGACCAATGTCCGAAGCAGAACTCCAAAAGTTTCCACAGCACCAATTTGGTCAGGCCTTTACAACACTGAAATGTGACTGTCCACCCTACCTGCTGTGGCTGGAGAAAAGGTTGGTTTTGCAGGAGGCTGGGCTTGCAAAGAGAAACCCAGACAGAGGGACTGGAGGCCAGACGGTCTCCTTGACAGCCTTAGATTTGAACAAAACTGGAAAAAAAGGCTGTTTCTCACTGTTTCTCCTTTCCCAAAATGTGAAACACCCCATTTATGCAATATCCACTTTCTCYAGTGTGTCTATACAGAGGGGCTTGGAGGGTGAGCAACCCTGATCATAGGACCAACATAGCCACAGGGGCCATGCTTGGCCAGCCAGACCTTGAAGGTACATGAGGAACCTGCCATGTTCTGAAAAATGTTTGGGTGTTCCACATTTGCCAAACCTCCYAAATAATATCCCTCTGTTATTGAAGATACACCCAGCCCCTGAGAGAATAAGCATGTCTAGGAAGGTGTCTTATTGTGAAGACTTTCACTTATGAAGTAGCTGGACCAATTAATCTCAAATTTGTTCAACAATTGGAGTAATTTCTTAATAGAGTTAGGAAAAAAAATCTGCAAAATGTTAAAACAGCATCATCTTGTCACAAATTTTTTGAAAATGTTTGCCTGCATAAGATGTRAGTTGCTCTCACTCTGAGGAGTTGTGGCTTCAGAGTTCATGCCTGGACTGACATCAAAGTTAAAAAATCTGCCAATTTCCAAATTTCTATGTTTTCCCTAAATACATGGATTTTGGAGAGCTGTAGGAGAGACAGGATGCAGATCTAAAAGGGCTTTGATACCTGGGATGTTTGTTTAATCCAAGCAAGTACYTYTAAAGTGAGCAAATGGCTGTAGCCRCTTGAGAGAAAGCGACAGGCTGCAAGCTGATTTGTGGTTTAGTAAAGAGATGTGTACTGACACCAATGTACTAATTGCCAGCTCAGCTGGTTACTTGGATGCCTTTCRTCACACTGCAAAATGTGAAAAAGCATTTCTTGTAGCAGCCAGGCGAATTGGGAGTTCTCCTGTGGCACCAGTGCCATGTGAGGTCTGTGCCATCTACTCGGTACACATGCTCTGTCATGTTTCATTGCCTAACTGAAGTAAATTTCTGCTGCAGGACAGCTAAGTTGTACAACTCATTTAGTATCTGCCATGTGATTTCTGCTCACTCCTCATTCCTGCTGTAGTCTTCTTATTTCTCAAAGGATGTAGTCTAATGAGATGATCAAGCTTTTCTTTTTTTCCTCTTCTCCCTGGTGATGAGAAGTGAGAGAATATTWAACATGTAACTAATCCTCAAACCCCTAGTGACTTGAGCAGTATTTATAGACCATTCTCTTGGCAATCCACAAGGAAAATAGTTTTTGTGCCCACCTTGCTTGTCCAAAAATAGACTTCAGGAATTTTTTCCCTCTTACTTGCCCAAATTCAGGGGTTTTCAGCATGTTTTTTCGTTGGTGTATTTTTTATGGCATGATGACAGAGTCCCAGTTACAAACTTAGGAGCTCTCCCAGCTAGTTGCCCAGCCACAGCWGCTGCATGAAAAATCTCCCCTGTTCTTCCCAGTCAGCTTCAGTCTCCTGCTAGCTATATCAGGCCCCAGAGCATCAACTATGCCCTGGATTCCTGGCTCACTCACTGCTTTGTGGGAAACCGCTACCTTTACGGTGAGGTTGATAACTGCCAGCTGCTAGAATGTTGCAGAGGACAGGATTTTCCACTTYGTGCATCGTTATCACAGACCTGTCTCCTGACTTGCTCATGCTAATACCCCCAGTAAAAGCCCCCAGCAGCAGGATCCAGCTGACAGCATCTCATACCAGTGATTTTCCACAGGGAAGGGCTTCAAGCTTCAGACAAGTTCAGGGAAGGATTTGGCTTGAAACTGAGCTCAAAAATGAATCTGAAGAAGAGGTGACTTTTTCACTGAAGAGCAGACATGCATGTAAAGTGCTCTGAGCCATCCTGGTTGTCTCCTGGCTGCCATTCTAGAAGGTTCCCTGGGGGTCCTGTGCCACATCTGCCCAGCCTTAGTGCAGCTCTTAGGGCTTGGCATGTGGCACTAGATGTCTGTGTGGCTCAGGAGGCGAGTTGGGAATGAATGTGACAGCAYGTAACAGGCACACTAAAAGGGATGTAGTATGAGAGCTCTGCCRCTACCATGAGCAAGTTGGTAAATAAATCTGTTGTTTTCCAGCTTGCTTGAGCTGTTAAAGCTTGGTACTGTTGCAGAAATGAATTGAGACCATGAGGACCTGACTGTTTGTCTAGGGTCTGATGCCAGACCCTTCTCTAAAACTGCTCAACGTGCTGTACTTTTTCCAGCCTGACCAGGCTAAAAAATGGCTTTGATCAAATCACACAAATCACAAACAGAACTCCCATGGCATTTTCTTTGTTTTTAGTCCCATCTGTTGTTTGGTTTTGATCAGTATGTAAAGGCAAAGGCAATCTATCTCATTTACTTCATGTTCATAATAATTACATAAGGGTTTAGGGGTTTCCTTTCTGCCTCACTTCYGGTATCTTTTTGCAGGTTGAAAGCAACTGGTGCCCAGATGTCCACCAGGAGAGTAGCAGACTTGTGGGAGCTGCACAGCGAATATGATATTGTTGTCAACTGCACAGGCGTGGGAGCCCACCAGCTGGTGGGGGACAAGGAGCTCTTCCCTGTCAGGGGACAAGTCCTCAAGGTCCACGCGCCTTGGGTGAAACACTTCATCCGGGATGGGGATGGCTTAACGTACATCTATCCAGGGATACACAGGGTGACCCTGGGGGGAACCAGGGAGAAGGGGAGCTGGAGTCTCTCCCCTGACCCTGGCRCTACTAGAGACATCTTTGACAGATGCTGCTCCCTTGAGCCCTCACTGCGGGCAGCTCAGGGTGTGGAGGTGAAGGTGGGCTTGAGGCCATCCAGGCGGTGCGTGAGAGTGCAGAGGGAGATTTTGAGCCAAGGAGGAGTTAAGCTYCCGGTGGTCCACAACTATGGGCATGGGGCAGGTGGCTTTTCAGTGCACMGGGGCACAGCCAAAGAGGCTGCTCAGCTGGTGGGAGAGTGCATTTCTGCTCTGCAAGGCTCCTCATCGAGGGCCAAGCTTTGAATCCCAGAGGTTCCTTTTCCATTTACAGCTAGTGCTGCATCTCCTAGTAGCAGCTCAGACTTTTACTTCATTACTGGATAGAAGGGAACTAAATCAATAGCTTGTTCCATTGCAGATGCTCAGTGGTGTCTTCTGCCACCTTGAAAAGGCATGGTGTGTTGATCCAAGCTGATCACCTCCATCTGGCATAGTTTCTGCCCTGGGCATTTGTCCTAGCCTCATGTGAAGACAAGATACATCAATACTCTTTACATAACAGGGATGAGATTGCTGCAGTATAATAGAAATAACGTAAATTTAGCATTTCTGCATCTACATCTAAAGGGTGTCAGATGCACTAGGCTCAGGTTCAGTAAAAATGAGTTGTCTCCTCTTGTACCAGATGTAATCCAGAGCTGCCCTTGCTTCTGCCATCTTGCTAATGAATTTTGTTGTTGTCTATATGATTTAGAGGGAAAAGAAACCCCGCCACAGTGCTGCATTACAGTGCTCCACGTCAGCCCTTACAGAAAGCAATGTTAGGTCGCTGTCACACACAGACACCAGGCAAGTATGATTTTCAGCAGCAGGTCTGTGATACCGMTGGCTGCATTTGCTCGTATTGCAGCTTAGGGAACTTGAAATTTCTGCTAATATTGCCCCACAGGAGCTACAGTTTTGCTCATCTTTTCTCACACTTGTTTGCAAATCTGCTTTTTTCCTTCAAGCCCCTCAGGTTTTGCTCTCAGACACTGATGATTTCCCCCAGCCCCTTCCCTCCTCCCCTGCATAGAAACATTGACATGGCCTTTGTTCTACAGAAGGGGAGTTTTCAGAGTGGATTTGAGAACGCAATATCCCTTTTCTGCTTCACATCAACACTGCTTTCCTTGCAACAGCTGATATTAATAAATTGGAGACACACCAACAAAGATTCTAACACCAGAATCGGTTTCATAGAAGAGCCATTTRACACTAGATAAACACCCTAAAGAGAAATTTGTAACTGGACAAGCTCCTCTGCTGTAAGAAAGCTGAGTCACCAGAGCCCAGACCCTCTAACTCCGTGGCAGAGGCTGTGTTGGGCTTTACACTCCCCCAATTCAAGCCCTTTGATGTATCTGAAGACAATCACTCTCCAAAATTGGATCTTACCATCAAAGTGCAGGTCTGACTGTTAGTGATTAAACCACTGATTAGATCTTAAATGGCTCACTTAAGAGTGTTATCATCCATTTTTTGTCTAGCTTTTTTGTCCTTGGAGTTACAAAACCATTAAAAATCCTTCAATAATTTCAGTGATTAAAATTAACTGATAAGTAAAGTTCTAATAATGGAGCAAAGGTCACTTCTGTAGTGTTTCCTTTGATAAGCAAGGGATTTTCTTTCATTTGCAATGGTCTGACAGGGCCAAGAAAGGCCACATTCATCCATGGCTGCCAACTCCTGCTGTTTTCAGGGGGGACGAAGGCAGTTATCATTTGCAAGGGACAGCTGTCAGAAGAAACACCACCAAATTAAATTATAGGTCAATAAGCGCCTGGGACCAGMCTAAGCCAGCCCTGCCTTCAGCAGCCTTGTCCTCTTTTTCTCAGCTCTGAAGGCTAATTTTGCATTCCCTCCTTTGTCACCCCCATTTGTCCTTTCCAGTGGTATGAGAGGGCAGAGCTGCTGCTTTTGGCAGCAATGTTGGCATAGGGCTTGTCAAACTGCAGCTTTGTCCTCAGCAAACCTAGGACATAAAAATACATGGAAAAAGAACATAAGAATGGGCTCTTTTTTCTTAATCTTTATTTTAATCTTAAAAAAATAGCAGTGTAACTTACCCTGGAGCAAGAGACACTACTAATGCTAGTAGAGTGATCATCGATCATAAGAAACCAAAGCTGCGCTTGTATACTTCTGCTCTGCAGGGCCATGGGCTTTCTTGTAATCTGCTTCTAAAAATTGTCTGGTTGATAAAGTGTCAGAATACATTTGGCTGCAAAGCCCATCAGTCTGGTCCTAGCTCTGGCCATAGCCAACARGGGGGTGGCCACTTCTGGCCTAAGGTCCTCCTCACCTGAGGGGTAGCTTAGTGTTTCAGATGATTTGTCTTCCACACAGTTGTTGTTTTGGTCCTAAAACTATGTATGGTGCTTCTGTACCCCTCAATATCCTGTGAAAACAGGTTCTGTAAAGGAAAAAACTTCTTTGTCCAGGAGCAGAGCTCCTTGCCTTCATGGTTGTCTTGAACCTGAAAACATCATCTGATGTCCCTTTCTTGCATGTTATGAGGTAGTGACTAGTTATTCTCCATGGMCCCTCTGGAGTTTATAAAGCTCCACCATACTCCTTCTTGGACTCCCCACCTTGAAGAATCTTGGTTTACATAATACATAATTKCCTCACATTYACAAGCCCTGATCCTCATGGGGACATATCTGTTGAAGGGGACTGCACAGTAAAGTGTAAGCATTCCAGGAGGTTCCTTCTCCAAGTGACAGAACAGCCAACAAGGAGATGTGCTGTGCTGGACCCTATTCTTACCAACACAGAGGGGCTGGTGTCCCAAGTGAAGACATTCGTCTGCAGTCAGTATTGGGGCTGGTGCTGTTAAACATCTTTCAGTGACACGGACTATGGGATCAAGGGTACCCTCACCAACTTTGCCAATGACACCAAGCTGTGGGGTGCAGTGGACATGCTGGAGGGAGGGGATGTCATCCAGAGGGACCTCAGCAGGCTTGAGAGATGGGACTGTGCAAACCTCATGAAGTTCAAGGCCAAGCACAAGATCCTGCACCTGGGTCAGGGCAATCCCAAACACAAATACAGACTGGGCAGAGAAGGGATGGAGAGCAGCCCTGAGGAGAAGGACCTGAGGATCTTAGTTGAAGACTAGTTCAACATGGCCCATCCATACGTGCTCACATGCCAGGAAGCCAACTGTATCGTTGTCTACATCAAAGCAGCTTTGAGGGAGTTGATTCTGCCTTGCTCTCTTTTCCCATCTGGAATGCTGTATCCAGCTCTGGGGGCCCCAACATAAGAAGAATGTGTACCTGCTGGACAGAGTCCAGAGGAGGGACACAAGGATGATCAGAGGATGGRAGCACCTCTGCTATGAAGACAGGCTGAAAGAGCTGGGGTTGTTCAGCCTGGAGAGGAGACAGCTCTGGGCAGAGGACAGTACCTAAAGGGGGCTGCAAGACAAAGGGACTTTTTAGAAGGGCATGTAGGACTAGAAGGAATGGCTTTAAAATGAAAGAGAGTGGATTTAGATTAGAAAGAAATTCTTCACTGTGAGGGWKGYGAGGCCCTGGCACAGGCTGAGATGTGAGTGCCTTATCCCTGGAAGTGTCCAAGCCCAGGTTAAATGGGGCTTTATGCAGCCTGGTGTAATAGAARGTGTCCCTGCCCATGCCAGGGGGTGGAACTAGATGATTTTTAAGGTCCCTTCCAACATCATTCTGTGACTCTATGGTCTCTCTTCCCTTCATAATATATTAAAATGCTTTAYAGTTTTTAACAAACCTTTAAGGGACAACCTCATTCCAAGATACCTGTYCTTAGAGGTACTAGCTGTTTCAGAGGCCGCTGCTGAGGCTGGGTAGTGAGGTTGTCTTCCTTCCAGCTCAGCCAGGTGTTTTTCTCTGCTGTTAGCTACAATGATTTTCACCTGCCATTACTTTGCCCASACTCATGAGATGGTTTTTGCAGCTCCTTGAGGAGTTTGCATTTTACTGCCTTGACTAAACCYGTACCACCAGCAGATCAGTCATTTGCCTGATTGATGTCTCTGTGGGTGAACCCTGGCCCTACCACTATCCCTGTAAGATGCAAGTGGTGTCTTCTCTCCACTGTGAAGAACGGATGATTTATCCTTACCTGGTCTCTCTATCCTGTGTGTAGCTGCTGACTCATGAGAGGATCTTACCTCTTATTGCATGCTGGATTAGGCTTCTTAATGGGTCCTTGGTGACAGATGTTATTAAGGGCTTTCTGGAAGCTGAGCAGATCATACCGAGCAGATCGCTCTCATCTGCAGCTTCACAGTTTCCTCTGAAGCCATGAGAGGGTGGTGGAGCACAGCTTTATGGGCTCTCACTGCAAAGCTCTGCACGTTCTTCTCTTAGCCTGAGTCTCTCCTTGCAGCTCTTCTTTTACTATGGCTTTTGCTGTTTGCCTGCCACAGGTGTCAGGTTTAGTGGCTTGCATTTCTCYAGATCCCTTACAGCACTTAAAGCAGTATCACATGTCATCCTCTTTTTCTTCCGCTGTTTTCAGTAAAAGCTTATACAGTGGCTCTTACAGTGCAACAATTTCCATTGGCATTCCTTTAAAACMCACGAGTGAGTAACAGCTGTTTTCCCGAATTTGTTACTATCCCTTWCATCTATTTGTTCTAAAGCCTCCTCTAGTGACCCTTCAATCTGAGGCACTTCCCTGCATTAACCCTTTAACAAATGGGTCTGCCGTGGGAATTTCACTAAGCTTTGCTGTKCTGAATGCAGACACACGTAATCTGTTTGGCCGTTGTGTTAGGATGTGTTTTCTTTCAAACTCCTTTGCCACCCTGATCATCTGCTGACTTCACACCCTGATCACCTGCAGAATCCTCCATCAGGSTCCCTGCTCCTGCTAGGATGGAGGAGGCTTTTTGTCTAGCAGCAAGTTATTTCCTTCCAATATTTTTTAGTCTTCCTTTCTGTTTCTGCTTTCAATTTGACAGAATTCATGTCCTTTTCCTCATTTGGAGGGGATGTATTTTGGTTCTTTCTSATGTAATTTTTATCATGCTATTACAATGACCCAGTAATTATATTCTTTCAGTAACATGTCTGGCATTTCAATACCCTTATATAAAAATTGAGAATTTGAAAGCTGTATCTTTATTTCTACATTCATAGCAACAGAAGCAAACATACATTCAGCCTGATTGCTCCTGTGTCCCATTAAAAGGAACTTTATTTATCCACATTGCACCTTGCTGTTTCCCCCTTACTTTTGGTTATAAAGAGGTCAAAATGATATATCTAAAGAATGTCATCATGATCCCTCCTCCTGTCTCGCTCCTCACTTCCCTCAGTTTTTAGCCTGAAATTCCATTTTTAAATCTTTCTCACAGAGGCTTTTCTCCTTGGCTAAAGTCATGCCACACAAAGACTGAGAATTCTATTCAGAAACCTCATCTTTTTTTTTTCCCAGAAGCTTTCAATTTGCCAAGAATATGTCCTAATATTTTGGGGATAACTGAATATTGCTCCATTATGCTTCTCTAGGCATGGAAAATTTAAATAATATAAAATATATCCTAGATACATAGTGATGCTGCTAACTATACACCTGCCCACAAAGGTGAGTCACAGTATTTCAGTATTTCAAGCCATCTCACTGACAGACTTCTTTCAGGCAGATCAAGTTTGTTGAGATGAGTCCTGTCTTGCTTCAGCTGCCTGGCTCTGGGTGTCAGTCTCTGGCAGGATCTCATCAGCCATCYCTGAGTTTCTGTTCCTCACTCAAGACTTTTGCCAGGAGCTGAAGCAAAGATGTGGCCTCTGTTACCTCTCCAGCTCCAGCTGAAGCTGAGCTGGCAGCTGAGGAATTTTCAAAACTCCGTTTTGATCTTAAATCTGTCAGTGTTGCTGCATCAGCTCTGTAGTTTTCATCTGGAATCACAGAATAAGTGTCAGAAACACTCACACATGGGAGAGGATTAACATTAAACTTCCCTGACCTCACTGTGCTGATGAAAGGTGCCCTCAAAGAAAGACTTAGCTGTCACCTGTGCAAAGCATTCCATCCCTGCACTATTCCTTAAGCCCATACGTGTCTGGACATAAGTTATCCAAACTGTACTTGAGTATTTCCTTCTTATCCTCACTTTCTGATCTGCATTGAAGAGGCACCCCTGGCAGATGGCAACCAATCTGTTACACTCACATGGAGCTTCAAAGGTGTAATTGTGGTATAGAAAGAGAACGATTATATTTTGAGACATTTTTCAATCCTTGCGATTCCAGGCAGCAGATGGGATGTGTGATGGATTTTAGAGCTTGAGCACAAAATAAYAGTTTTCTGCAACAGGAAATTTTGTTGACTTTCTTCACAGAAACAAAGCCATAAAGTCATGTTRTCTCAATATAGGCTTTTGCCTCTGTTTAAAATAAATTTCTGGAAAATACCAGAAAATTGGCATTCACCATTCATTTCCATTCTCTTCCAGTCGAGRACTATTGAGATAAACCTCAAATTCATTAGGAATAAATGTAGCAATTAGAGATAYCATCATGGCCTGGACCGAGATTTTTATTGTTTTCACAGCAATCAAGTAACTATTGTTCCGTTGTASGCTGCTCTAGTTTATCCTGCTTTATTCCCTACTTCCCACCAGAGGGAGATGTTGGATCAAGCAGTTGCTGAAAAAGCCCGCACACTCCATCTCAAAGAGCAAATGGTGTGATGCTTAATTCAGTGGAAATCTGCGTGCCTGTCGGGTTCCCACATAACTAAAAGGCTAGGGGGACTTGGGTGCTGCGATAGAGCTTTAAAAAACGATCGTGGACCGGTTATTTATGGAGAACACTTTAAAAAAGTACAATAAAATGTGAAGGCAGAAGCATACCAGAAGTTGTAGTCAACTAAAAATAAGGAATTATTATAAAAATAATCCTAGACAAAGCTGCTGCTATAGCAGCATGTCCCAGAGCTTTTTTCCCCACCAAAAGGCTGGAGAGGAAACCTCTGTCTTGGGTAGCCAAGTGTCCTCAGTTCCTCATGTTGTGGGTTCTTGGGGACCCCCAGTCCCTCAAGATGTGCCTGGGCTGGACATCCCGTGGGGTTGTCCCTGTGGAGCTGCAGCCTGGCCCATGGGTCYRCTGGCTCCTGGYCAGGCTCATGGTGAGCCCAGACACSACTCTGGGTGCTCAGGTATTAGAAATTACTGCTCTTTCAAGGTCTGAAATTGACTGGTTTCTTTCTGGGAAATTTCCCCCCATGTCTATTTTTCTCAGTGAAACATATTTTGGAGAAGGAAAAGCAGACATGAATCAAAATGCAGCCTTATTAAGAAGGGGAAGGGCTGGGGGAAAAAGAAAAGGGGAAGCAACTGTTCTGGAAGTGAGCAACATCATAGAAATGGTATTTCCAAAAGTAAAAGCAGTTTCAAACCAATATTTTTCCTGTGTTTTGCTTTCATCTTTTGAGACTTTCTCACACCACTGACAGCAGCCAGCACTAGGGCAGCACTGTCCCACATCCCTTTCCTCTGTTCCTGTTAATGCCCATTACCTACCATAAGGACAATACATTTCTTACACAGTGAGAGGTGTGAACCATGAGCGCCCCATGTGCATGACGTGCTGTACTCTTGACATTGCCACATTTCCCACCTTTTGATTCAATTTCTGCAAAGTTCCAGTCACCCAGCTAATATCATTTGAGCCTTTCCTTCAATTTGTCAGCCAAAGGAGGGGAGGTTTGTTCATTTTCTGTCTCACCAGAAACTGAAGCAACTGAGYCAGCTGCTGGTGTTTTGGAAGCACCTGTGTGTGAACCTTCAGTCAGCATTTTGGCTAAAATGAATTTCTCAAAAACAACCCTTCCCTCAGGGAACACACTGGAGCCATGGGGGRAGCCTCTCTGTCACACAAATGAATGGTTTAGGTTACTTAAARGATCACCAATATTAGTGAAAATATACTTTAGTATAACTTTACAAAAGGGAAGCAAAGTCTGAAGGTAATGCCTACTCTACTACTTACAGCATGGGTATTATATATAAAGGAAAACCAAATTAGAATCAATTTAGAGTGATTTATACAGAGGCCAGGGATATAAAAAGGGGAAAGGAAGGAAAGGTTAAGGGAGACTCTGGTGAGTCATGAGATTCACAGTGGATTCCCTTGCTTTCCAAACTGCTTGTCAGAGAGGTTCCCACACATGGCTGGGTCAGGTCTTAGGCTCAGATATGGTCARCAGTTTATGTCTAAAGGATCTAGCAGCACTTAAATGTTAGATTAACCAAGGATCAACTATGAACGTAACAGTAATAACAGTTATGGGTTCAAGATAATAACATGTATACTGCATTTGCTGTAGGGCATCCAGATCAATACACACACAGATTTGTGTATGCAAATGTACAAAGGTAATGCACACACAGATATGTAATGTGTAAACACAAAGGTATATGTATTAAACATTCCCCTTRAGAATCAGTGAAACACTCATCCCTAATGCCTTTCTGGCATTTCTTAAAGGGTGTGGGGATGGGGGTAGGATGTTAAGCCTCTAATAGTGGGATATCAGACCAGGCTCTGTTGCCAGGTGACTTTTTCCAAATTTTGTGAACTTAAGAGTTTSGGTGCTCTGAGAGGCATCCCACACAGGGTGAAATATTGATGCAGCCCACTGCAGTCCAGAACAGTTCAAAGGGTCTGTCTTAGGACCACTGTTTTTAGAGCTCTGAGAYAGCTGGATTAAGTCACTGATATATTTTCATTCTGTCTGCAATCTGAGTTAGTGATTACTGGAATTTTTGAAATTCCAGTGAGGATGATACTGTTCTACTTGAGCTGTGTTTCAGATAAGGAACRTTCCRAGGCTGTCAGGGGATGACTGATTATTCATGCTGTCATCTCCCACCTTGGTCAGGCAGCAGGGGTTCCTGGTAYGGTCAATACTGCCCACACCTCAGCTTCCCAAGAGTTCCCTGATGATCAAGAAAGGCTTTACCACCAAGCTCTCATGCAAAGGCCTGAGTGGGCCAGTGGAGAAGGGAGAGAGATGAGCCAACATGCTCACACTTGCTTTCCTCCTTGCCAAAAAAAGTTGATTTTGAAGCATATTTGGGCTTCAAGGATATGAAACCTCTCCTCTGCACGGACCTTGCAGCCTGGTAAGCCAAATGATTTCTTGGTAAGTGGGACAACTGGTCTCCTTTGAACATTCGAAGAACTGGATTTGGGCTTCTCACATCCCATATTACTGTGGCTACAAGAAGAGTAATTCCATTCTTTGTGTGCTTCCAATGAAAAAGCTTTCATATTTTTGAAATAAAGGAGCTGAGGCAGCTGAACTTTAGTGAAAGACTCCAAGAAACAACCCACTTCTCCATAGAGGTAAAGACCCCAAGAAGCACTGGCTACCCTGCTTCTGAAAATCCCTCTGTAAGTCTGGGTGGGCACAATTTTTTTCTGTGGTGAGTGTATCTGCACAGTGTCAGCACTCCAGGAATAATCATAGGACGAATTGACACAGAGATTTGCAGTAGGATAATTGCCTCAAACAGAAGGATAAATAGCTTTTTCTGGCATGTAATGGGCCTCTTAAGTGAACAGCAATAAACTCTATGCGAACAGATGTTTTCCTTCTTTTTCGTCCTTTTGCATCTCATCCATAATTATGCACTAAAATGTTCTTGTCTGGGTTGCTGAGAGCAATCTTGTTGCTGTTTGTCTTTGCAGTGTAAGACTGAGCTCTTCAGCACAAAGATTGASTAAAAAGCCCTGGATTCCTAAAAGCTCCCGTCAGTATACATCAGTGATCATCTTCTTTCCTTCATGTTAAGCCTGAGGGAGAAGTGAGGAATTACGGGGGAAATTTGCCTCCTCTGGCTGCTGCTCTGCATGTCCCAGTGTTGGGGTGTCCCCGTGTAGGTGTTGGTGCACCAGGCTCCAGCTAGGAGGTTCTTTTTCTTGCCTGGCTTCTGGCATTGACCCAATTCAGGAGAAGCCACAGCTTCACCTTTGGCTTGCAGGGGAGCTGAGTGTCCCCTGAGAAACTCCTTCTGTCTCTGTGCTGACTGGACTGTGGGGAGATGGCAGAGCAGGCTTTCCTCTACAGCCACTGGCTCTGCCTCCAGCCTCGCCAACAGGAGAGTAGCAGGCACAAAGCGAGCCCTGCAAAAAAGCCTTTAYGCTTTCAGAAGCATGTACTTTATCTCTTGGCAGAGTACAGAGAAATGACCTTGTTCCTGAGGAAATTCAATACATTCTGGCAAAGGGGTCTTCTCCTAACAAGGAGACTGTGCGCAAGCCAGGAGATGGGGCACAGCCACAGCATTAGCCCAGCTTTGTGTTCCTYGCCTGAAGCGATGCCGGTAGAGGGATCTGCAGGGACAAAAACCCACTCTGTCCTTCTCAGGGCATCTTCCAAACATCCAACTTGCCTTGGCTTCCCACATCCACAGCTGAGGACGGAGGCAGACATGCTGCAGGGAGACACATGCCAAAAGGATGAGCCCTGTGGTAGCGCTTAACCTACATGTAAACTCTYGGCTAAGGAGGTTATTCCACCTCGGATCAATCCCCGTGACTCTGCACCATTGATGCTGCTCCACATGGCATTGAGGGCAAACTGCTTTGAAAAGAGCCYGCGGGAAGAACACTGAGTTTTATCCTCACCGTCTGCTCCTAGACAGGCTGCTCAGCTGCAGGGGAGCTGTGGTATCTTTTCTGCTGAGGGCAGACCATTTCTCTCCTCCTTGTTAGGATTGTAGCWAAGATTTTAAAATGCAACCAGATGGAGGAGAGGATTGTCTGACCACATGGTAACAGTTCAAAAAAACAACCTTTTTGTTATGGATAAAGACTGAATTTAGTGTCCTGAAAAAATGAGACGCTTTTCAGACACGTGGATGAGACCTTTATTTAAGGTGGATGCTTATTATTAAATTGGCCTGCATACTGGTCCAGAACATTTTTGCATACCTCATATCCTAGGGAAGCTGCTTTTCACCCATCACATTTGAAGGATGCTGCCAGCCACTCCCCTCCCAACTTTTATTGTTTCCTATCATCGTTAATGATGAATAAATTGTACAGATACGTCAGTATATCAAGCAACATTGCTAGACAGAAAAAGTGCACAGCACATTAATTATGGGTCTTAATTTGTTGGTGAATCTTCTACCTGAAAAATTTTGAGGCTGTTCTTCTTACTATCTGCCTTTGGCTTGCAGCTCATCCCCCCTTGGAGACCCCTTTACCCTGAATGCTTGCAGATGAAGGAAGGTCTCTCTCAGTGACATCTGCTCGATTGTTGCAGTGCCATTGCCATCCCCTCTATAAATACTTTGGCATTTGTACTGCTCTATATAAGCCCATTAAAAACATGTAATAAAAAGGCTTATATAATTTCTTGAAGCCATCATTACTATGCCAGCTGTGGTGTTTTGTCAAATTCTGACCATTATAGATTAATCCCTATGCCAAATTACATTTTTTAATGAAAGATATTCATCCTTGCATTTAGAAGTGTAAAAATGTAAGTTAAATTTATTGCATCCAAAAAAAAGGCAGAGAGCTGAAGCCAGAATAACGCTAAGGTAATCTTTAAAACAGAAAATAGGATTTTTAACAGAAACCCAGGGTAATTTTTAAACAAAGCTGGACATCTGCCTGGGATTACAGTATAGATACAGGGGAAACACAGCTGATGAACTGATAGCACAAAAATCTTTGTGCAACAGTATGTGAACTGCATGTGAGCCACCATTACTTAATTCCTGTAAACTGGAATAACCTTTTTTTTTAATGACAAAACAAATTCAATTTTTATACTAATACATCTTCAATAAAATTTCCAGCCCTTATTTTAAAAAGCAGGCAGAATTTTGCTTGTTCAGAATGACTGGACAATTTAGTAAGAGGCAGACTGTAAAACCACTGTTATTCCTCTCCAGGAGTGAAACACAGCTGCTGGAGGCAATAGTTGTATTTGTAGATACCACAAGGATTAGGGTTAAATAAATAAAGGCCCAGGGACAGCAGAGAGCTGCAGAGCTTCTTCTCCTGAAGGGCCATCTCATTCCTCTTCTCCTTGCTGCAGCGAATGTGTGTGCACAGGTACGGGTACGTACGAGTGCAAACACAGAGCGTGACTCAGAGCTGAACCTTGAGCTGTAATCTCCTCTCCAGGCCAATAATTATCACCCATCTCTTTCATCAAACCCGGAGCACGAGGCTAGGCTGTGGTGTTCGATTCCCTCTGTAGCTGGAGGGAAAAAGCAGCTTCTGCCCGTGCATCGTGCTGTGCTGCTGAACAGCAAGATCAATCTTGTGGTAAGCTGCCTAAATGGCCCACGAGCTTGAGGAGAGCTAATGGGAGGCTGCATGGACATATATTTTTGAGTTGTTATCTTCAAACTTACCAGTGGCGAGCTGAGAAGCAGTTTTAATGATTCACACAGCTGAGCTTTTGCCTTGACAGCTGTTCAGACACGAATTTCTCAGCRGCGGTAAGTGGGTAATAGACCAATGCAGCCAATTTGCTTCTCTGTTGCTAACATTTAAAAGATAACACAAAGAGATTCTTTCATAGATTTCAGTGGGATTTAAGGCACGGGAAGGAGTAAGGGCTGTACCTACCTGGCAGAGCTGTGTGCAGGCTCCACGGAGGTCTGTCACTTGGTGCATAAAGAAATAATTCCACGATTTTGAGCTGCTGTTTTAAGGAACAAAACTGAAAGAATGGKCTTGCACAGAAGCATCACTGAGAAGTCGCCCAGGGAGCTACAAACGTTTAATTCCATGTTCCTCAGGGCTATGGCAGAGCTTTGGCACATAAATGTGCAAGGCAATAAAGCAGGCCTGGACCAAAGCTSTGACTGCTGCAAACTCAGGGTGTGAGGCACTAACATCTTCTGTGGGGAAGGACACACCGTGCTTCTCTTCTGCAGCCACTTTTAAAATTACCTTGGGAAAGTTTCTACTCAAAACATCTCTGTTTTCAAGTGTACAACAGCGTCACTCTGATTTTCGAAGTATTAGTCAGGAGTGTAGGAGGGAGGAAAGGGAAGAAACTCTTTCTTTGCTCAATCCTGTAGATTTTGGCAAGTGGCTCATAAAAACTCCAGAGCACAGAGTCAAAAAGAGCCTTTTTATTCATGTACCCATTTTATAGGAGGAATGTTTGACTTGTATTAACAGCCCTTGGAGAATCCTCAGGAATCCTAGAGCGTTTTCCCTGCCTGGGGTTTAATTTTGCGCAGGCACTGGGGCAGACATTTTGACTAACCAGAAGAGAAACAGAAGCTCTGACAGTGGGTGGAGGCAGAAGGTGAACGGTATAGGCAAGATGTTTGAACTGAAAATGGCCATAAGACAGAGAAACATTAAATAACTGCTGCAAAGAAGAGATTTCACTACCAACAATATCCCAGGCAAGAGGTAATTTGTAAGCAGCAAAGATAGCACTGAAGCAATGAAATTTCATTGGTGTTGAAGTTTTTTCTTCTAGAGGTTTAGTGCTGTGCTCTCACCATAGACAAATCTGTAAATGAGAGAGGAATTTTAACAGTTTATAGACCTTTCCTGGAGAAACGAAGGGAGCTGTGGCTCTGTGGCACCCACATAAAAAGCAGTTGCTGTATGACTGATGTCTGATTTTGGTTATCAGGGCGTGAAGCTCACTGCTCTCAGTAGAAATTGCACGCTCACATTCAGAGTCGCTGTTCCAGTTACTCCYTGCATTTCATGGTGGCGGTTTGTGCTCAGATGGATCCAGCTTGATAAACGTTCCTCTAACACCATCCATCTTACTTTAGGAGAGCAAGGAGGGGAGGTTATTTGCTGCCTGMCTCAAAGAGTGATCGTGTTTTGTGAAAGATGTGAAACTTTGCAGAAGTGTATTGCCCAGCAATCACCTCAAAAAGGCCCAAACTCCAGCTGGACTGCAGTTTCATGCACTACATTACAATTTAAATTTGCTCTTCTTCTCAACAGGTTTTGCTCACACACATATCCCTGCAGCCAGTTCCTGGGGGAGGAATTGATTTATAATACCCTTGCTAAAATGAAGAAGTGAGACTTTGTAAGGTACTATCTTAATTCTTGCTGATTCTCATGTTAATCCTGATAAGATTTCTCATTGTCCCTGAGGTTTTCTGAGACCATTCTCTATCATTGTTCTGTTATTCTCTATCTCTGTCTTTAGAAACCCTCTGTTGTGCTCTTAAGAGGCAGACTTACATTCATAAGAAATTGTGGGGTGGGGGGTGGGGAGGAAGCATGAGAAATTAAATTGTTTATTAAAACACAAAAGGAAAATGAAAACATGGAGTTAAATTAGTGAACTGCTCTTTATCAGGACCACTCCTAGCATGCCCACATATTGGAGCTTATCAGCTTTCTGAGGAGGGCAATATTTTGTACAAGGTCAGCACTTACAGCTCAGTGATGACAAGAGGAGCGGCTAGATTCAAGTATTTGAGCTTTTTGCTGAAACTACACAAGGGGAGAGGAAAACCAAATGAACCTCTGATGCTAAAATGAAGAAAGACCTTGTGGTTTCTATTCTACTMAGGTAGACTCTTTYATTYGAGTATGCATTGTTCAAGCTTTCARGAAAGCTTTGATTTCTCAAGGATKAAACTTCAAGAGAGAGTTTTAAAATGCATTTCTACACTTTGTGCATTGGGGGCCAACCTGCCTTCAAGATTTTCTCCACAACCATACAAACACAAACTTCAATTTTAATAGGACCTTCACATGCCATTATTTATTGACTAGATATTGATAGCTTAAAATGACATTTGTGCTAAGAATTTTGTCAAAATGAACATACTAAGAAATACTATCCCTGCTTTTAATGTTCGTGACGGATGCCTAAAACCTCTCTTTTCTAAGCAGCAGCATTACTTCTATCTTCCATATGAATGTTGCCATTTCACATGGAGGAGCAAACTGATACACAGGCAGCCCCGTGACAGCTAAATGACCTTTGGGTGACAAACTCCGGGTGATGCTCACGGATGGAGTCAGGTGCCTGTCTCTTAAGCTGATGTCAGTCATAACTGGCACAGTTACACTCTGCCCTCATAAATGTGTTCCTTCCTYGCACTAACACCAGGGCTTGTCTGATCCATTTGTGGGGTGAAAACAGGAAAAGCGTGCGGTTGTCAGAAAGATCCACTTCCAGAGCCGACTCACTTCCCTGTGGCAAACACCCAAGGCTGTCCCATGTTGTTGGCTGTAAGGTGATAAAAAGATAGGATGGTACCAGCTAAGGTGTCCAGGTCTTTTAGGAAACTGCTCCAGACAGAGATGTTTTGAGTTAATTTTCTTCTGTGTCATGTGGTTTGACTTAGTTTAGGACAAAGGACCCACTCTCCTGCTACAGGAATGGCAGGTGGGACTGACACCCTCCTCTGAGAAGAGCCTACATTTAAGTTGTTTTAAAGCAACAATGGAATTGCTTTAACCTAATTCAAAAGGATAGTTTACCTAAAGAAAGGGAACAGCAATGTTTAAATGGCAGGAATCTTGCACCTCACCTGCCAGTGCATCTGTGCGTGGAGCCACACTGAAATCCCACTTCTCCAGACAGATCATTGCTTCCTCCCTTATCTTCCTGCATACAGCTCCTCCATCCTGCTGCCAGCAGGTCTGGTTGCTTGGCTGCTGGCACGCTCCACTTCTCCCAGTGGTGCTCTCTGACCTGCTCCCCCAGCAGCAGCCAGCTCTGGCTCTGCCCCAGGCTGTGAAGAGACAGGAGAGGTCAGAGGAGYAGGGCAGCCTGCTGCCAAGGAGAGSACACCAGAAGGAGCTTGGTGCAGCAAGTCTCTCCCTTGCAAGCAGGCAAGGCAGGGACACTGGAGGCACAGCACTGTTCACAGGAGACAAGAGTCACAGTCCCTCTTTTCTACTTGGCACAGAAACCAATGTAGTAGTCATGAAAGAAACCAGGAGTAGTCATGCATCCCTGTCCTGCATATCCCATCTGGGAACATATTTATTACTACTGAGCTGTGTGTGCTGCAAGCTGGTTGCCATCACTCCCGTCCCTGTTCCGACAGAATTTCCCTCCTGCCACTGACACTGCTCCCCACCTGCGCTCCTGCTTCAGAWAATCCCTCTGACCACCGCTCCCTGCTCATGGCTCAGCCATGGATTAGGACCAAAGCTTGCCTGGGCACTTTATTGTTCTACCTAGCGTGTTCCTGTTGAGAAACAAGCACAGTGCCTCCTGCTCCCATTGGGATCAACGGGACACCTGTCCTCTGCCCTGCCTCTCAGCTCATGCAGATCCATTCCTTCACACGTGAAYGGAAGCATGTATCATGAAAACCCGCAGGATTGTGTGACAGCCCAGGAGTGAGGCTGAGAGGCAAAGTACASACTGAAAAGAGTTACTCATAAGCACGAGGTGTTGCAGCCAAATTAGGGCACCACAACTGATGTTTTATGCAGGGTTCTCACACCCTTCAAACGTTCAGCATGATTTAACTGGTCACTAATAGCCTCGCCACTGGTCACTAATCACAGTAAAACTTTACAAGGCAGGTCTATTTTTGTAGCATTCTTGCTGCTTKTCTATTGATYCAGATGTCCCTGGAGTCAACCKTKCTAGAGTTACTTATCTGTACTGCCAGACGGTATTGGAGAGRGGSTTCAAAGGCWTGTCAGAGGAGCTAGGATGCTSGTGTTATCTTGGTAGTCCGAGATCCTTTATCCTTCATGGGCAGCCCAAGTCTCACAAACAGCCAAGTCCTTACTTCCCGGGCTGGTCTGTCCTTTTGTTTAATTTACGCGTGAGCAATCCCCAAGTCTACAGGGAAATTTCACAACCTCGTGACATCACGGTGTGTAGTCTGAACGAATACRTACATTAACAAGTTAGCACACTTCCATGCTACAGACACGGGCTGATACAAGAGTTATGACGAGGGKTTGTGTTGTCTCTCGGGCCGTCTSACACGCACCTGCGGCTGCACAGCGCCGCGGCCCCACGTTCATTCCCGGGTTCTGATCCCGCCGAGGCGCGGAGCATCCCTCGGGCCGCCTGCGGGCGAGCACCGCTGCGTCCCGCAGCCCCCGCCGGGCCGGGACAGGGGCATCCCGGCCCCTCCCCGGCCGGCCCCGCTCGGGGCGGGGACTCCCAAGTTTCGGCGGCGGCGGCCGCGGGGCCCGGCCCGCCGGCGGCATGAGCCCTGCGGGGCGGGGGGGCGGCAGCTCCGGGCCGGGCAGCCCCCGACGCCATGCCCAAGGAGCGGCCGCTCTGGCGGGGCGCCGCTTTCCGCCTGTGCCTGCTCTCCGCCGCGCTCTTCCTCTGCCTGCAGCTCGGCATCAGGCGCTCCTGGTGTCCGGAGAAGCCCCGGGACCCGGCGGCGATGGTGCGGGCGCCCGCCCCGTCCCGCGGCGCGGAGCAGCGGCCGGGCGCGGTGGCGGTGGCGGGCGCGGTGGCGGTGGCGGGGGGTGGCCGCCGGCGGGTCACCTACGTGCGCAGCGGGCGCAGGGGCAGCGCCACTCCCGCCTGCTGCGCCCCGCAGCCCCCGGGCGGCCGCCGCAGGAAGGTAGGGAGGGCTCGGGGGGACCCCGAGGCGACCCCGACTCCCCGCGAGGGACTGAGGGCGAGCGGGCACCCGGGGCGGACATGGGGCTGGTACCTGAGAAGARGCGGCCGGGAGGGCGGTGGTGAAGCGAGGTGGGGTGGCGTGATGACTTCTTGGGAAGCGGTCAAGCGACTTTTTGAGCAGTGCTGCTTGAGCTGCAGGGAAGGGGGAGTGTGCTGGAGCGGGGCTGGACAAAGTGAGAGCTCGGTCTGAGAAGGTGACAGTGACCCCGASTCACCAGGTGGCCTCACATCCCCAACAGGATCAAACTTGGGCAAAGACTGTGACTCTYGGCGTTCTTGACATCCGAGTGCCATTGCGTTCGCAGAAGGGAATCGAGAAATGGTTCTGAGATCTGGTCCGCGTGAGAATTAATGAGTTTGTGGATGACCTGCTAATGAACCTGAAATTAGGTTCCTACGTGGCAGGGACTGTACAGCCTTTTAGGGAAGTGAGGACCTCATTAGTGGCCGGAGTTCAGCGAGAGTGAGGGGCACCAGAGCTCCCTTCACCCCCAGTTAGCTGCCTGTGTGGCCATACAGGGATGGTGCCTTCTTCGATGATCTCCGCATTGTGTTTGGGTTTTGCGGGTGCCAATCTCTCAGGAACCCTTTAGAGACTCAAATATTTATTTTGTGGAGTTTTCTTTGCAGTGTTTCAGGGGGAGAAGAGCCAGCTTTGAGGGTGGTGCAGGAATAGTGTGTGATGTACTCTGGGGTTGTGCTGTCAGGGTGCAGTTGTGATGATCCGTGCAGAGATGTGCAGGTTCTTAAAGAAGCTGGAGTGATCATGAGGAAGAGCACATGGGATTTTGCTAGAGATGAGACCACCTTCTTGGTCAAAATAAATGATTTCTGACCTTTGCCCCAACAAGAATAAAACSAGTTTTCTGTGGAATGACTAAAGCTTGTCCTTACTCCCTTGATGAAAAGACTATTTGCTAACATCCAAACCACCATCTGAYCACATGTGTGTGGTCATGGAATCTCAATTGCAAACCTGCTTTCTTTTCTCTGCCTGTGCCACCCCAGTATTTAATTTTTTATTTCACGAGGAGATGGACATAGAGCTAATATATAGATTAACTTCTAGGTTTGCCTCATCTTCCGTGAGAAATTGTGATGGAAAAAAAATAAACTGCTATTTTCTGCCTCTGATTTCCTGAAAGGTTTAGAAGAAATGAGATAATCCCTTGCTACCTTCAACACTGTGGCAGTGATGAGGACAACATTGCCACATGTTTCTTCAGAATAGTGACTATGTGATGTTATTTGGGCTGTGGCATTGTTGCCACACTGAGGTACCTCAGTCTAGTTTTTGTGATTTTTGTTGTCCATGCTCTGTTACTTGAGGTTATCCTAAAGCCCAGCTTTTAAATTATTCTTATTATGGAAGAATTTCAGCATTAATGGGGAAAAAAAGCCTGTAATCCTATGGATTCAGAGAGTTTCTTGAAAATATGCTAAGAATGGCATCAAAAAACAAGAGGCAAAAGTAAAGCTCACCTAATTTAGTTAATGATTTTTGAGGAAATCCTGGTGGGGAAGTAGCCCCAGGAGAGGCTGCACATTGTACCTGGGAACTGGCAGCTCCTTGTGGTGTTGGAGAGCTCGAGGCTCTGGAAAGCCCAAGTGTGTTTTGGTGCATCTCCAAGTGAAATGTGTGTGAGAAACATCACTGCTGTGGTTTGTGGTGTTGGGCACGTTGCTGCTGAGGTCTCATTTGAATCCCTCTGATTAAGTCAAGGGAAAAATATTAGTATATATAACAGAGGGTGGAGTTGTTGCCAGGTTAGGTTTGAGACCATCAAGTGCCTTCTGTGTTGAGCTATTTGACTTGAGCATGTTGCCTCAGGCTAAGGAAAATGTACTTAAAGTAGAGGTGGGGTTTTGGGGATAGCAGGACTGAACTTCCAGGGATTTCTGGTTTTGAAGTCAAGTTGTTAAATAAAAATACAGGGGAAAAAGTAATGGTAAAATAAARTGAAAATGGTTTGAATACTGCCATTTTTTCAAGTGAAAAAGCATGATAGCTACAAAAAAAAAAAACTAATGGGATTTTTTTTTTAATCAGGAGACATTGTATTTCACTTCAGGCTGTTGTAAGACAAGGTGGGGACTTTTATCCGAAAAGGCTGCTTAAATTGGTGGTCCATGGCTCCCCCAGCAGCTCTGGAGAGAAGCATCAGAGTGTAACTGCTGCCAGTGTGCTGTACTGCTCTGTGTAAATGCTGCCTGGAGGAGAGGGACAGACTCCTTGTGCAGATCTGTGCTATATTGGGTTGGGATTGCTTTTTGCTGTGGCTTTTATGTGTTTTCAGTGTCTTCTGTCTGTCCACTATTGTCAGACCATTTCTGAAGCCTACAGAGGCTTCTAGATACGTTTTTTTTTTTTTCCCCTGCTGCTGTTTATAGGGATGGTGTTGGGCTGTGTTGGGATGTGTGAGCCAGCAGGATGGCAACAAGGAAAAATCAGCGAGGCCAGACTTTGCTCTGTTTTTCCTAGAAACTCTTGGTTATAACTCTGCTCACACTTACATCACTGAATTAATGCAGAAGACTGATGAACAGAGTGTTTCCATAGATGAAGTTGAATATCCTGCTTTGTGGCTGTATAAAAAGAAAAAAAAATGCAAAAACACACAAGGAAATSATTCGGTGCCTACTTTGAATCACTTTAAAGTTTCCTGAAGCAGAGCTGTGTTATTTATTTCCCAAGCACAACTGCTGTCAAGCAACCAACACCACCAAAAGGAGGGGAAAAAAAGACACAGACAGGATGGGAAAGATGGRGAGTTGTCCATAAATGGTCCCTAAGTCTGCAGGAAACTGTCTGTGCTTTTCCTGACCGAGGCTCTAACAGCAGAGCCCATGACTGTGCAGCAGATGGGATGGTTTGGCCACCCGGGTTCCAAGGGTCTGTTTGTGCCTTAAGATGCATTCATAAAAAATGTTAACTGAAAGCAGCAGGGAATAAAGTAATTTAGCTAAGTGACATCTCTGGGAGCTGCTGGAGCTGCCTGTCCTGGTGCTTTAGGGAGCTGTGCTGCTCCTGGCTGCTTTGCTCCTGGTCGAGCCTAGCAAAGAGCAGATKCTGCTGCTCTTGTTGACAAATAACAAGCAAAATTTGTTATTGACAACAGAAGATGGTTGTCTGAAGAATGGGAAGAGTTCTGTTGTGCTGCAAATTAAAGCAAATGGAAGTTTGTAATCTTGCTTATATTTTGGTGGAAACACTTAGAACTCCATTGTTGCTGATAAAATTAGGTTTATAAACTGTGATTCTAAGCTCTGGTTGTGTTAAGCACTGGCCTGGTAACATGTGCAGCACATTAAAACTCCAGCTACATGGAAACACACAGATTCTGCCAGGTGTACCTGCTCCTGCAACAGGTATCAGCAAGGTGTGCACCCACAGAGCGCTGCAGACACGTCAGGTGTGTTTTAAAAGGTTATTCCAGGCTGCCATGGCAAAGGAAAAAACAAAATATTGCATTTGGAATTTGAAGTAACAGCAAATCCTTGTCATAATAATTGCAATAACAAGGTTATGTTGGCTCTTGTGCACTGAATTTGGGAGGAGCCCTCTTCAAGAGTCTGGTTGAGAAAAGCTGGAATTCCTTGCCTTCTGGGCAGATTTATTTCCAAGGAGGTGGGGAGTGTGGTATGCTGCCGAAGTTAACCTGATGTTATTTTGGATGCTCTTTTATGTCATATCTAGAAATGTTGAAGTGTTTACCTTCAGTGATTAAAAGCAAAGCATAAGTTTTGCTGCTGGGCCCATTTGTACTTTGTCTGGGATTATAACATATTTTGAAACATTTTGTTATTGCCTGAAACCAAAAACTCTTTCGAGATTTTATTTTTATTGGTGTTACTTACACTTGTACACATTTGTCTTTTGGTTCATCATAAATGCAGACTAATTGTCMTTTGSTATTTCTTGTTGGAGTGAAGGWTTTGGTTTTCTTTAAACAGGAACTRTTTCCAAGAGGTTACTGCTTCTCTTCAGTGATGACTGATAACAGTCTCATCCTTAATTGTCTGCAAATTATTTTGGAGGGATATCTTTGAAATTATGTGAAATAACTGTTTGGCAGTWAGTAATATGGCAAGCTCAAAATAACCTCATTCAATTTAGCATTACACTATTGCTAAGCTTTTACTTTAATTTACATTTTGGTTTTAACTTGTGTCAGTGATACGTAGGGCTTATGCCAAGAGTCCTTTTTTAATTCTTCTGGAAATCTGGTTTAAAAATGTATCAGATGTTTTCATTGCCCAGTTGCATGCATAGTGTTTTCAAGCTGGCTTCACGTCTTTAAAAGTATGGTAAATTTTGGGTAGTGCTTTTACAGGAACTTACTCTGCCTATTGATGAGGAGGAGCCAAAATTCTTGGAGAAAACTTGGTTATTCTGAAGTTAAATTTATTTGTCTGCCTTTCTGAAGTTAAATTTAGTTAAAGTTGTCTGTCTTTCCACATYCCATGGTGTAATAGCTTGTCTGTTTTGGATAGGGACATCACTTTTGTAACTTTATTCATTCTGAGTGCTTGGAGCAATGTTTTAACATTACACCAGAGTTTAACACCGCAGGGCTTTGGGAGCTGTGCAGGGAATCACATCAGGCTGTGCTTGCAGGAGAGRATTTGCCCTGGCTCAGGCAAACCAGAAGAGCTGCGTGAATTAAAGCAGCCTCTTGGATCTCCCAAGATTATTCCCATCTCTCCACCCGTGTCCCAGGCACGATGAGCTTTACAGGGTGCAGTGCTGTTCCCTAAGTGCTGTGTTGAGGAGTGAAGAGCATCCTGGCTTTGATGGATGTTGAGGAGTGAAGAGCATCCTGGCTTTGATGGATATGAGCAGAGGAGTGCAGAGCTGAAGAGCTGGATATTGGTTATTCCTTTGGAGTGTGCCACTTCTGGGCACCTCCTTTAATAACAGGGAGAGAAACTGGAGAA